ACTTCGTGTAATTGCGAGAAAGGTTCAAAATACCGCCCCAATTACGTGCAAAATACTTTGAATAATTTAATTTTCGCTGTATTTTATTAAAAATTGGTTTATACAAGTTTAAACCAGATACGACAAATTGATGGAAATACCTCAATCTGTCTCAATCTAATATGATTTCGGAGATACATGGGAGAATACGACTTCGTCTAATTGCGAAAGGTTCAAAATATACCCCCCCATTACGTGCGCAAAAATACGTAAAAAATTTAATTTCTGCTTTTTTGTATTATATTTTGGGTATGGTAAGTAGAAGCAGATACGAGAAATTGAATGGACAATAACCTCAATCTTCTCAATCAATAGTTCGGAGATACATGGAAATACGACTTCGTGTTAATTGCGAAAGTTCCAAAATACCACCCTACTACGTGCAAAAATACGTAAAATTTAATTTCGCTCCTATGTATTAAATAATTGTTTACAAGTAGAACAGATACGAAGAAGATTGAATGGACATACTAACCTCAAATTTCTCAATCTAATAATTTCGGAGATACTGGAAATACGACTTTGTGTGTAATTGTGCGAAGTTAAAATACCCCCCACATCTCGTGCCAAAATACGTAAAAATTTAATTTCTAGCTTATTTGTATTAAAAAACTTTGGTGTACAAGTAGAATCAGATATGAGAAATTGGAAAATGGAAATCGCAACAATCTTCGTCATCGATATTCAGGTTGGATGTACGTGGGTAATACGACTTCGTGAATTGCGAAGTTCAAATAACCCCCCATACGTGCCAAATAACGTAAAAATTTATTTTCTGCTTATATTGTATTAAAAACTTGTCAGTACAGAAGTAACGAGATACGAGAAACCTTGAATGAAATACCACACAATCTTCTTCATCTGAATATTTCGGGGATAAAATGGGAAATACGACTTCGCTGTAATTGCGAAAGTTTCAAAATACCTCCCCACTTAGTTGCCAAATACGTAAAAATTTAATTCGCTATATGTATTAAAAAGGGTTGTACAAGAGCAACGACTACGAGAAATGATGGCAAATAACCACATCCTTAATCTATTAGTTTCGGAGATACTGGGAAATACGAATTTGTGTAATTGCGAAAATTCAAAATACCCCCTTATACGTGCCAAAATAAGTAAAAATTTAATTTCGGCTTATTGTATTAAAAATTGGTATACAAGTGGAACGAGATACGAAAATTGAATTGAAATAACCACAATCTTCTTAATCTAAATATTTTCGGAGATACATGGGAAATACGACTTCGTGTAATTGCGAAAGTTCAAAATCCCTCCCCATTACGTGCCAAAATACGTGAAATTTAATTTCGGCTTATTGTATTAAAATTTGGGTATGAAAAGTAGAACCAGATACGGAAAATGAGTGCAAATAACCACATTCTTTTATCTATAGTTTCGGAGATACATCGGAAATACGAATTTGTGTATGGAAATTCAAATACCCCTTATTACGTGCCAAAATAAGTAAAAATTTATTTCGGCTTATTGTATTAAAAATTGGTTACAAGTAGAACAGATACGAGAAATTGAATGAAATAACCACAATCTTCTTTCTAATATTTCGGATACATGGGAAATACGACTTCGTGTTAATGCGAAAGTTCAATACCCCCATTACGTGCCAAAATACGTAAAAATTTAATTTCGGCTTATTGTATTAAAAATTGGTATAAAAGTAGAACCAGACACGAGAAATTGAAAGGGAATAACACAATCTCTTAATCTATTGTTTCGGAGAACATGGGAAATACGACTTCGTGTAATTGCGAAAGTTCAAAAATACCCCCCCCCTTATTACGTGCCAAAATACGTAAAAATTTAATTTCGGCTTATTGTATTAAAAATTGCTATACAAGTAGAACCAGATACGAGAAATTGAATGGAAATAACCTCAAACTTGTTCAATCCAATAGTTCCGCAGATACATGGGAAATACGATTTTGTGGAATTGCGAAAGTTCAAAATACCCCCCATTACCTGCCAAAATACGTAAAATTTAATTTCCGGCTTATTGTATTAAAAATTGGTATACAAGTAGAACCAGATACGAGAAATTGAAATGAAAACAACTTTCTTCAATTTATTAGTTTTGGAGATACGTGGGAATACGACTTCGTGTAATTGCGAAAGTTCAAAATACCCCCCAATTACGTGCAAAAAACTTAATAATTTAATTTCGGCTTATTGTATTAAAATTGGTATACAAGTGAACCAGATACGAACAAATTGAATGGAAATAACCTCATTCTCAATCTAATAGTTTCGGGTACATGGGAAAATACGACTTCGTGTAATTGCGAAAGTTCAAAATACCCCCCCAGCCGTGCCAAATACGTAAAAATTTAATTTCTGCTTTTTATTATATATTTGGTATGTAATAGAAGCAGATACGAGAAATGAATGGAAATAACCTCAATCTTCTCAATCTAATAGTTTCGGAGATACATGGGAAATACGACTTCGTGTAATTGCGAAAGTTCAAAATACACCCCTACTACGTGCAAAAATACGTAAAAATTTAATTTCGGCTTATGTATTAAAATTGGTTACAAGTAGAACCAGATACGAGAAATTGAATGGAAATAACCTCATTTTTCTCAATCTAATAAATTTCGGAGATCATGGGAAATACGACTTTGTGTAATTGCGAAAGTTCAAATACCCCCCCATTTCGTGCCAAATACGTAAAAATTTAATTTCAGCTATTGTATTAAATTTGGTGTACAAGTAGAACCAGATACGAGAAATTGAATGGAAATAGCCACAATCTTCGTCAATCTATTAGTTTTGAGAATACGTGGGAAATACGACTTGTGTAATTGCGAAAGTTCAAAATACCCCCCATTACGTGCCAAAAATACGTAAAAATTTAATTTCTTGCTTATTGTATTAAAAACTTGGCATACAAGTAAAACTAGATATGAGAAATGGAATGGAATAACCACAATCTTCTCAATCTAATATATTCGGGATACATGGGGAAATACGATTCGTGAAATTGCGAAAGTTCAAAAATACCCCCCTTACGTGCCAAATTACGTAAAAATTTAATTCGGCTTATTGTATTAAAAAGGTTTACAAGAGAACGAGATACGAAAAATTGAATGCAAATAACCACAATCCTATTTAATCTACTAGTTTCGGAGATTCATGGGAAATACGAACTTTCGTGTAATTGGCGAAGTTTCAAATTACCCCCCCCCCTTATTACGTGCCAAAATACGTAAAAATTTAATTTTCGTCTTATATGTATTAAAAATTGGTATACAAGTAGAACCAGATAACGAGAAATTGAATGAAAATAACCACAATCTTCTTAATCTAATAGTTTCGGAGATACATGGGAAATACGACTTCGTGTAATTGCGAAAGTTCAAAACACCCCCTAATTACGTGCCAAAATACGTAAAAATTTAATTTCGGCTTATTGTATTAAAAATTGGTATACAAGTAGAACCAGACACGAGAAATTGAATGGAAATAACCACAATCTTCTTAATCTAATTGTTTCGGAGATACATGGGAAATACGACTCGTGTAATTGCGAAAGTTCAAAATACCCCCCCCCATTACGTTTCAGAAAACATAAAATTTTATTTCGGCTTATTGTATTAAAAAATTGGTATACAAGTAGAACCAGTTTTCAAAAAATTGAATGGAAATAACCACAATCTTCGTTATCTAATATTGATCGGATTTACATTAGGAAATACGACTTCGTGTAATTGCGAAAGTTCAAAATCCCCCCCCATTACGTGCCAAAATACGTAATAATTTAATTTCGGCTAATTGTATTAAAAATTGGTATACAAGTAAAACCAGATACGAGAAAATGAATGCAAATAACCACATTCTTTTTAATCTATTAGTTTCTGAGATACATGGGAAATACGAATTTGTGTAATTGCGAAAATTCAAAATACCCCCCCATTACTTGCAAAAATACGTAAAAATTTAATTTCGGCTTATTGTATTAAAAATTGTTATACAAGTAGAACCAGATACGAGAAAATGAATGCAAATAACCACATTCTTTTTAATCTATTAGTTTCGGAGATACATGGGAAATACGAATTTGTGTAATTGCGAAAATTCAAAATACCCCCCCATTACGTGCCAAAATACGTAAAAATTTAATTTCGGCTTATTGTATATAAAATTGGTATATAAGTAGAACCAGATACGAGAAATTGAATGCAAATAACCACAATCTTCTTAATATATTAGTTTCGCAGATACATGGGAAATACGACTTTGTCTAATTGCGAAAGTTCAAAATACCCCCCCCCCATTACGTGCCAAAATCCGGAAAAATTTAATTTCGGATTATTGTATTAAAAATTGGTATACAGGTAGAACAAGGTGCGAGAAATTGAATGGAACTAACCACAATCTTCTCAATCTAATAGTTTCGGAGATACATGGGGAATATTTACTTCGTCTAAATGCGAGAGTGTAAAATACGTCTCCCATTACGTGCCAAAATGCTGAATATATATGTGAAAGTTATGTGTTACGTGAGGGGCGGTTTGGCGTGTGCAGGCGAATGCGTGATGAATCTGTGGGCGCGTGGGCAGTAATGAATTCATGAGTGTTTACAAAGCTGAATAGTACGTGAAAGTTTGGTGTTACGGGGGGGGGCGGTTTGGCATGTGCAGGTGAGGGCGTGATGCTGTGGGCGCGTAGTCAGGAATGAATTCATGAGTGTTTTTAATGCTGAATAGTATGTGAATGTTTGGTGTTACGAGAGGGGCGGTGTGGCTGCCTGCAGTCGTGGGCGTGATGATGCTGCTGGCGCGTTGTCAGTAATGTATTCAGCACATGGAAGTGTGGTGTTACGAGAGGGGGGGGTTGGCTTGTGCAGGCGAGGGCGTGATGACGCTGCTGCGCGTTGTCAGTAATGTATTCAGCACATGAAAGTGTGGTGTTACGAGAGGGGCGGTGTGGGCGTGATGATCATGCTGTCAATAGTGAATACAAGAGCTATGTTGTGTGGTATGTGGAAGTGTGGTGATACGAGAGGGGCGGTGTGGCTTTCTGCAGGCGTGGGCGTGATGATGCTGCTGGCGCTGACGGTGGAGCGGTACGTGGCCGTGTGCCACCCGGGCCGCACGCGCCCCATCGTGGGGCCGCCGCGCCGCGTCGTGGCGCTCATCCCGCTGCTCACCTTCGCCGCCTACCTGCCGGCTGCCTTCCGCGCCCGCGTCGCCGCCTGCCGCCCCGCCCTCGCTCCTGCGCTCGGCCCCGCCCACGAGGCGCGCGTCGTCTACTACAAGGTGAGTGCGTCGCCCCCTCTTACTTACCTGCATTGCTTTACGACTGCCTCTCGTTAATAGTACTCGCACGACTTGTCTTGAATTAAAGAAATGCGGGTGGAGTGAGGGGATTAGTTACGAATTCCGCCACTAGATTTTATGAAGCAATGCTAATCTCTGGAGAATCAGTCGTGCCTTCGCAACTTTCTCAATAAGTTTGGTTTTAACTTTCTCAAGAGGTCGAGGTATATTATGTGATCGATCTTCACTTTCTTCAATCATTTCTTTAGTCTCTTTGGAGAAAATTGCGGACAGAAGTTAATTAGTGTTTTAGTCAATTCAAGTTGTTTTTAATTTCTATTATTTTCGTGTTATGAAATGTTTCCAATCATGTTTTGTGTCCATGTGCAGTCCTAAATATTTAAAGGGCTTATTTGGAGATATCATGGCATGGGTTCACTATTTAATGTTTAAGTTGTTGGTGCAGTGTATGGCCTCAATGAAATATTTTTGCTGCAATTTTATTTGGGTTTAATTATCATTTTAATTTCCATGACGAGCTGTCTAGTATTAGACTCACTCTGGTGGTTTGTTTGTAAGCGTGCTGACTTTCCACGACGCAACCCCGGGCTCGATTCCCGGCCATTACAAATTATAACTATAGACTTTCCTTACAAATGCGTCAGTACCTATTACTGTGTGACGATGAGAAAGCCCTAAGGTTAAGAAAGCCCAGTATTGTAATGGACCACGCGACCTACTTTTTGCCGTGTTGCTGAGAGTCATACTATCGCAGGGGAGGGGCTGCCGTCACACTGAAGGTGCGACGGTCGTTTCCGGATACCAGGAGCACGAGCTAAATTTATTAAGGAGGGCGCCAAGCATATGCCTACCTGTGATCTGGGTGCCGGCCATGAGACATCTGCAGGGATGAGCGCCCTGGGTCGAATGGATTGCATTTGCTTACTAGCTACTAAATAATGCACACTTTCCTTGTGTGGCCACACGACCTAAATGGCGGGGACACGTTTATTGCTATAGTAAGTCCTCTTTTACATAATATTCCCTTGAGGGCTTTACTCTGGCTGTTAACTAGATGAACGTGAACACTTACGGGAGTGGATGAATGAATTTCTGATACTTCACTCCAAAGGATTACACGTGAGATAGGCCGGTGGCAGCAGATGACTCGTTGGAGAATCCTGGACATATCCGGTAGTCGGCAGGAACACGTCGCCTGGCTGGGCAGGAGATCATCCACGGCCGTCCCCGGGTTGGAACAGCTACTTTCGATGCGCGGGTCAGAGGTCGCCTGGACCGCGTACTATGTTTGGCAGCCGAATATTTAGGCTGCACACCCTCTCGTGTATTTTGAGGTGTTACGCTAACCGTTCTAGCCCGGCATCCGGAATGCATTCCGATGCGGGCAGATAATGGCTGAAGACCATTGACAGTTTCCGTATCGCTCTAATCGACGCTGAATCACGAAGGGGGCTCCCTGAACCAACCGCTCGCCTCAACAATCTTTTTATAAGTGTCCGCGCTTCTAGCGCCTTGTGCTCCTGCGATTTCCCGTCCCCAGCCCTCTCGAAAAGTGCCTGACGTATCACGTCGTGAAGCTTTCCATAGGCTAGTCTTCTTTGGAGGCATGTGATTTATAGTCGCTTAGTCATTTATGGTGGGCTGCTCTCGCATCTTAATGTAACAGTTTTGGTTGTCCGTCACGTATTGCTACACAAAGGAATGGAATGGTGCCTTTCGGGGACGGACGCTGGCTGTGAAATTCTCAGTTCTCGGCGCGCACGCAGCTGCGCGTGGCGAATGTGCAAAGATGCACTCTTTGCCTAGAAATATGCTGATTCAGCGTGACGCGAGGGCCGCGCTGTGCAGTGAGTCTGTATGACTCATTGCAGTATGTACGGTGGTTGGATGTCTACATGCTAACCACACGAACCCCTTATCCTATGGCCGGGAAGCTGGGTCACCGCTGGTCGGCCAACACCAGTAGTGGGTTGTCGAGCCAAGACCAGGACAGGACAGCCGTCTATTGGGTTTAGATATAATGAATATAGTGCTGATTAGCGAGTTGTTTGAAAATAGGAAAAGAGCTGAGGCCGCCGGTTGTTGCGTGGCTGCGCAGCTGCCGAACCGCGCGCTGCTGGCGTCGGCGTGGCACGCGGCCTACGTGGTGCTGCTGGAGGCGGCCTTCAAGGTGGGGCCGACGCTGCTGCTGGCGGCGCTCAACCTGCGCATCCTGCTG